ATCTACGACAAAGAGCTCTGTCCCATTGTCGAGTCCTTCAAGGTCTTCCGGCACTACCTCCTCGGTGCCAAGGTTCCTGTCAAGGTGATTACCGATCACAAAAACATCGAGTTCTGGTCTACCGCCCGTCTCCTCAACCCGCGCCAGACCCGTTGGGCCCAAGTGCTCGCCGACTTCTTCTTCCTCGTCTACCACCGCGCTGGTACCCTCCATACTCTTCCTGACGCTCTCTCTCGTTCCTCTTCGACGGGGGTGGGTGACCCCAAGGTCAAGACTCCGACCACCATGTTTCCCGAGAAACTCCTCATTGCCGTCATGTCCGACGACTTCCTGTCCCGCGTCCGCCAGGCTTTAGCGACCGACATTCTCGCACTCGAGATCGCTGAAGACCCTTCCCGCTTCCCCAAGTTCACCACAAAGGATGATCTCCTTTACTTCAAGTCGGCCTTGTACATTCCTGACTCGGCCGATCTCCGTTCTCTTGTCCTCGAGTCCCGCCACGACAGCTATGCTGCCGGTCACTTTGGCATCCGCAAGACCATCGAGTTAGTCCAGCGTGACTACTACTGGCCCAAGATGCACGATACGATCCAGCACTATGTCGAATCGTGCGAGACCTGTATCCGCAGCAAAACTTCCTCTCACAAGCCTTATGGCCTCCTCAAGCCTCTCCCCATTGCCGAGCACCCCTGGAAATCCATCTCCATGGATTTCATCACCCAGCTTCCTCCTTCCAACTCCTTTGATGCAATCTGCGTCGTCGTCGACCGCCTGACCAAGATGGCCCACTTCATGCCCTGTACCACGAGAATCAACGCTCTCGGCACCGCCGATCTCCTGATCCGCCGCGTCTTCCTTTACCACGGTCTCCCGGACGATATTGTGAGTGATCGTGGCAGTGTTTTTGTTTCTCACCTCTGGAATCATCTCTTCACAAGCCTCAACACCAAGATCAACCTGTCCACGGCCTACCATCCCCAGTCCGACGGCCAGACCGAGGCTATCAACCGCATCCTCGAGCAGTACCTTCGCTGCTTCATCTCTGCTGGCCAGGACAACTGGTCCGATCTCCTTCATCTCGCCGAGTTTGCCTACAACTCTTCTGTCCAGTCTTCTACCGGTGTTTCGCCCTTCCATGCGAACTTTGGTTTCAACCCGCGTTTCGATTTTTCTCCCGCTTTGACCCCTTCCCCTGATGCTACCAGTCTCCTCGCGCACATTTCCGATGTGCAAGCCAATGTCCGTGACCACCTCAAGTCTGCTGTTTCTGCTTACACCAAGCATGCGAACGAGCATCGCATCCCTCCTCCGGATTTTCAAGTTGGCGATC